ACTGTTGCATTTTTAATATTAATTAGAATGTTTTCCCAAAGATCACAAGAAAACAAAGTCCTCTCATGGAAATGAAGCAGGTAATTTTACACTACTRAATAGCACCTTTTTTKKWAMMAAAAAGGTTTTAAAGCTATATTGATAATAATTTTTAATAAGACTTTMATTGAATTTTTAGACAACAGAAAAAACAGCAATAAAGAAAAGGAGGTTGAACAGCCAAAAAAAACAGCARGCAATACAAAACACCAATTTCAATCAGAAGGTACAATATTGTTAAGTAGAGCTGATAAGTCAAGTTCTGTTCTCTAAAAGATGTTGAATTCATAGAATAGTCAATTGCTGGTAGAYGTTTCTTACTAGGTTTGCTATGGGGTCCATTTACTTATTATYAGCAAACAGTACATGATGAATATTTAGTAATTCAAGGTCGAGCATAATTTTAGTATAAATTTATTCATATTATCAATTTTTAATATAAATCACTTTCTTAATCTCAGCATCCACTTCAAAAGGTGAAAAAAGGCCCAAGAAGCGACCTGGCTGCCCTAATCCTATCTGCATAGGACACAGACAGGAGGTTGCTGAGTTGAAGGAAAATTACGGCTGCCTCGAAGCAAAGTATAGGAAGCTTCAGACGACTGCTACAGGTATAATGTATAACTATATAGTCTTTTACAATCACTGATCATTGTAATAACCATCGCTCATCTTTCCTTAATATTTCAGTGAAAAACTCCAGCAATATGCAAGCAGCTGGAATTATGACTTCAGATGAGGCGAATGAGAAAAAGGTATGCCAATAAAAGTTTTTGTTTTTTTTAATAACAATTAAATATACTTAGCAATGTTCTTTTTCTTTTATATAGCTGATAGAACTAGTGCCTGGGAGTGGAGTCTTTCTTTCACGCACAAAGCTAGCTTTGTGTAAGACAGGAGCTAAGACAAAGTCTTCTCTTGCTTGCCAGCTTATGAGGGTCTTCTTTACAGATAAAGACCTCATTGCTGGCAAGATCTCAACAAGTGGCAAAGAAGGCCATTTGTTGAGCCAAAACATCATTACCACAATAAAAGGTAAGGCGAATAAGTTTATAAGACAATGATATTGGGTACTGGCATCTCGATTGCACCTAGCTTGCAACTACTATACACTCTGTCTGTAACATATATTATTACACCTGGTACATATAATTGCTGATTGTTTTTACGAAGACTTTAAACTATTTGATATTAAACAATAAATTTGATTTAATCACTTCAGCATATGCTGGAAGACAAGATCTGCCATGTTGTGCAAAGAAAGGAATTGCGCATGCAATGACCATGTCCATCAAAAATCTTAGAAGATGTGACCAGAAGAAAAGCAATATGGGAGAGAAAGAAATCGGTGCTGATGACCACTCAAAAAACATGGAAACCAAGGACTCTACTGAGTCAGAATCTGAGTCAGAATCTGATACCGACTTCAGTGATGAAGATTTTGACTGTTAGATGAAGTACAGACATTACCAAATAGTTAATTATTATTCTGACCATGAGCATTCTGAGTTACAAAACCCATACTACAATTAAAATTTATGTGCATCAGTTTGGTAATGGCTATTAATTATAATTATTATAGAATAATGCCTCATATCAGTTCGCATAATAATTAGTGATCAATTTATTGTTTTGGTATAGGTATGTATATGGTATGTATATGGTATATTATAGGTATGCATGTGGTAAGAAAGGGTACAAATAAGGTATGTGGCAGGTATGGTATGAATACATACCATTTACATACYGGATTATGGCTSTTTRATTTATAGGTATGTAAATGATATGTCTACATACCCAATACATACCATTTTTCTCTGATGTAGTTAAATGAATTGAGGTATGTAAATGGTAAGTTGGGGATATGTAAAAAGGGGCCAATTTTAGTACTTGAAAATTACCTTTTTTTGGTATGTAATGGGTAGGTGTATGATATGCTCAAGGTATGTAATAGGTAGCTTGTGGGTATGTCCGAAGGTATGTTTGAGGTATGTCCAAGGTATCTAAATGGTATTTGTGATATACCCTTTACATACTTAGAACATACCTACAACATACCAAAAATTCCGCATGGGCAAGGAAAGTCCTACCTAACAATTTGCATGTAAACATTTAATTCATTTATTGATTTCTTCCAGAAAATGACCATGGTTATGCAGTAAGGATATAATGCATTAAATATTATATTGTTAAGGAACTCTTACATGTATATAATGTAGTATCTATAATTTCTATATTATAGATAAAATAGGCTAAATTATTAATAAAACTTATATTATAATTTCAGACCTGCTGTAAAATATATGAACTACCATCAAGCAGTAATGATGTGTGCGTTGATGGAAGGAAAAATTATTTTGGTTTCATAAGTATTATCAACAACGAGCTGTCATGTCTTACATGCCAATACAATAGTAATTGTACTCAAATGCGTACTTAAACCAATGTCTGAATTCATGTGATCCAAAACTACCCAACACTATCTACGAAATGTTGAGAAGACTGTCACCATCACAAGAGAATAAAAGGAAAGAGAATTCCTATAGAGGGCCTATGTGCCACTCAAAGATTCCAATACAGATTGCCGTTCCACCTCATCTCCGAGCCATTTCAAGTGTAGGTCTGTATGCATCAACTCTAATCAACACCGGGAATCAACATTCATTGTGATGAACATGGTATGGTTCCCCCTTTTTCAAATTCAAAATGTCCAAAATGTGGGTCACCATGTAGTTCTCAAGATCCTATTGCAAATGGGTGGACCAACAAGACTGTTCGAGTATTTACTATGAATACATTATTTCCATGTAAAGGTATGATGAGAACATTGTCATACAGCTAAAACCTTTGGAGACAGTAGTTTGAACTTTATTTTTGCCTTGAAACTTACATGCTGTGATGTCATCTTATGCAAAAATATTCAGATGCAAGCATCCACACTTGTGGAGACATCAAGTGTACATGGTGGACATTTCAATTTTTAGTTGCACAAAAGGATTGATCATATAAGCATAGTTAATAGAAGGAGACTCCTAGTTATGCAATGATCAAGCTATTCTATAATGTTGCATGCATGTTTTTGAATTCGAAATTGGAAATAACCAGATGTTGAAAATTGTCTTTTTGTGAAGTTTACTACAGGAAGTGTTCTAGTCATGACTGTTCTGAGATATTTGAATTGGATGGGGGACAGTTTGGTATGCTGCACATTGGAAGCAGGATGTTTAGTCACGAAGTATTACGAGATTACATGAACCTACGAGATTACATGCATTACGTGCTTCAAGTACATGTATATTTATTTAAGTTACAGTATAATTATGAACATCATATATGATTTCATTTGGACGTAAATTGTTTGATTAATGAATGATCATGAAAAGTTAAGATGTTAAGTAACATTTTGTACTGTAAGCACTTATAACTGCAATCATTCTTACTTTTCAGAGTTAGTATTCACACGTTTTTTAAAGTCTGGGAGCAAAGATGTATTGACTCTGGAAGTCATTTCTTTTGCCAATTTATTTACTACAACAGTTGGCGATTTGCTTGGTTTTCATTTTTAGGACTTCTTCAGATAGACTTCGAGCAGGTATGGCTCTGCCGTCATTGCGGAAAAGACCCCAACATAGTTGTGTGTGACGCAACAAGCCTCTCCTTTCAGAAGCAGTTCATAGAAACTGTCAAAATAGCCATAACCAAGACTCTAGTCCACTAATCCAAGGAAGTGAAGTGAAGTTACAGTTAATTATCAGACAATGACACACTTCATTTGAGTATGTGTATTTACCCTTTCCGCACCGCCCCTCCCCCTCCTCCTTTTTTTGGAGACTTTTCTTTACGGTTATTATATAGAGTGGTACATTTTTCCTCTTTTACCAGCCACAATAGCCGTGTGATGATTGCTGACAAGCATACGCATTAGGGAAGAACATAACAGATACGTCAATGAGGTAATGAGCGGAATTGTGCCCGGTCGAATTGGAATTGGTCCCACTTGAAACTTTTGCGGTCTGTATCCTTTGGAATACCAACTCTCTTTTGGGATAACCACGTGTGCGCGTCCGACGCATCAAAAGCAGAAGCTCTCAGGTCACAATATGATAGTATGTTCACGCAAGAAGATCTCACCAACTTTCCTGCACTCAGCAGCTCACCTTTCCCGGATGTCACAGACGTCATCTTCTCCGTGGCAGGAATTCGGAATCAACTTCAATTGATCCAGGCTGACAAAGCATGTGGACCTGACTGCATGCCCGCGCGTCTCCTGCAAGAGGCAGCTTCCGAACTTGCCCCGATACTCGCCTCGCTTTTTCAACAGTCATACAATTCGGGAAAATTACCCTCTGCCTGGAAGGACGCAAACGTTACTGCAATATTCAAGAAGGGTCACAGAGCTCACCCAAAAAATAACAAACCGGTATCTCTAACTTCACTCGTATGTAAGATGATGGAACACATAGTTTGCTTTTGATGTCAATGTAATTATACTCGAAACAACTTTTTTTTCCTTTATGTAACACCTCCCAAACGTGTTGATTACGACAATGCATGTAGCCTTCACAAGTACGCATTGAACAGAGACCCCAACTTTTTTAAAGATTGCTGGTTCTTGGTAGATCGCTTTCACTGGAAGAATCACAAAGTTACATCAATATAGCATTTATTTTGCAAAAACCAAATACTGTCTAAATCACACTTTTTGGGCACTTTTTCCGCAACAGGCATAATTTATTTGAGTCGGTCGAAATGATTGCATATTTATTTCCTAGGTTGCTCTGAAGGTTATCGTTTCCCTTCATACTCAAGTCTGGACACTGTGAATACTCAAATTAATGAACAACGGAATTCATCTTTAAAAAAACTAAAGTCTTCATTATCGTATATGAACAAAGACAATTTTATGAACCATGTTAAGTTTTTCCTTTGGGATCTTAATATAAAGACAACTCAAAAACTCATGCAAGATCACAGTTAATTTGTTGACAGGTGCAACGTTCTTTTCTTAGCTGTTAATCTCCTAAACCTTTGAGTCAACAATCAGTTAAGACTTGATCATCAAGGACATATAGCTTGGACTTTAAACTGCAGCTGTTGCCAAAACCAGATCTATCCCATTTGGGACGCACGCGCAGCAGTAGATTTTCTTACTGGAATATCTAATGAGGATCACTATAAAGTTTTGTTAATTAACGAAATTTGAGTGCGGAACTATCTGTCTTTTCCTGAATTAGACTTAGGCTTTTAATACTAAGTTTGCTGTATTTTTCTAGTACAAAGTGTTGTAATCGAAAGTTGACAGATTTAGAGTCCGTAGTTCGATAGTGAATTCAGCAGTCCGGAACATTACTAGTTTTGGTAATATTTTGTAAACAMAGCTCTTAACCAATCACAGAAAAGAACGCATTCGTGTTCATGGCAACCATCAATCATCACAGAACACGCGATACATTCCTTTTGAATGCCGCAACGTATTCGTTCTGTGGAAGTCTCTGCTAGCAGGGAAAGTGAGAAGAAAAATGAACGTATGATTTGTATACGTTTGGTGTGTTTCTATTGATTTAAAGTCCTGAACTTTATCAAATTTGCTAACGCTCGTTTTGTTTTGATATTCGGGAAAAATGTTTTTTTTTTTGTTGCTCATCAAGTAAATGTTAAATGAAAATCCTAAATTTACTCACATGAATCAATCTATCAATTGAAAAAAAATAAGGCTGTTTCTCCATTTAGTACGCTTCAAAASCGGGCCGATTTGGGGCAGTTAAAGCATGAGTCCGAACAGTCACACCAACGCACGTTCATTTGTTATAATCAAGAGTGATTCAGTTGAGTTTTCCCTGACTCATTCCTCAGTAAAAATCTTCTAGTAGTTTATAATTAAAGCAAAACACATAAGAGAGAGCGAGTTGGGGGTTCAAGTTGTATTTGTAGTTTATTTATCAAAGCTACACTCGGGCTATACTACATCAKGTCTCGTTGAGTAAATGCATTTTCAAAGCCTTGATCACTTTGCAGCAATCCCAACGTCTCCATTTCTTATCTAAAAACAAATAACACGAGACTTTTAACATTTAAATTACCGCATCTAAGGGCATAGCTTAATGATAGAGGGGATTATTCTAGCGGTATTTTATCAATTTGCTAAACTTGGTTTAAAAAATTGATGTCGAAATGAAATGTCTGGAACACCACATTTAATAAGATAACATACCGTAACTTCCATATTCTCATGTCCCTCACAATCTGGCAAACGAGCCTTCAAAACTTCAACAATTCTCTCTGGCTCAGTRTTATTTGATACTTTAAGCACCCATGTGCATGGAATGATTGCTCCTCCGCCAGTCTTTCGATTGCGAACCCATTTGTCATTCACTGAAGGTTTTCTACTTATTGTAGGYATGCCAGTCACAACGCTGAAAATAGTCAATGTTGTAGCATATAACTTTTTGCTTTGTTCATGTAAAACATTGGCATGTGTGAAATCAAAAGATACGTCATTCATTATTCATTGAACATCTAAGCTAAAGTAAAACTCTTTGATTCGCTCYTGAAGTGAAAAGACCCTATTTTGGCGCAAATCTTTTATTTTTGTCTTATCCTCAATACTTTCGAATAGTATGGACAAATGTGATGAAAAATGGAGTCGTCGTAGCTATACTTAACTATACAAAATATAAACATGACCCACAGCGGGTATACTAACCCTGTCACAGCCGAWACTCYGTTCTCCTCTAGTAATTCCACAATAGTCTTGTTAAGGAAATACTGCATGCGGCCAACAGTTTTCCCGACCATGYCCTTCACTTTGTAKGTCTTCTTGGTGGATTTACTAGTCATTACTGTGTTTAATATCTTTTCACTGAGATCATCTGGTACCGTGCATAATAAGGAATATTCATCACATCCACCTCGTTCTCTCTCTACTTTAACATAAGCACCAATTGGAAGTTTGATAGTAAATCATTGGAAATCATACGTACCTCGTTTAGCCATTACTGGAACTTTAAAAGCTACTTTAATAAGATAATAAGATAATAACTGTCTGCAATAGTCTGCGAGGTATTCTCTAAGGATGTCTTCGCGGGACTGACGCACATGTAGGTGAACTCACTTAACYATTTCCCGCCATTCCAGTAAGCGTCTATGATTGGTTTATATAAGAAGACCGGAGATCTGATTGGTTCACAAATGTAATCTGTCAATTGTGACATTGGCCAAAAGCCGCACTCAATCAACTATTTTAGCTTTTTGTGCATTCCATCGACCTTAATTTTATGGAGAGTGTTAAAAAAGACACCTATGTTATGAAAGTATCACTGTTGTGGACTGAGCTGTGTTTGCTTACAATAGATACTTTTTCTTGAAGGAACATATAAACGAATACTTTGTTTAGAATATGGATACATCAATTGATCCATCAGAAGTCGTCTGCACCCCTTTTGCGCTAACTGTTTTTAAAACATAGTTAGAAAGACGATCGTACCCTTTGTTGTGTCCTCCTTTGATCAAAACTTTCTTCATAGGCGGAGAAGAATTATTCATATCTCCAAACAAAATATAAGTCGAGTTGAGTTGCATAAAACTGATAAAGTATCTTTCAGTATCACAGAGCAGTATGACACACGACCGGACCGGATGCTTAGAAGGGAGTGCAAGATCACGGTCAGAACAACACCTCGAAGAAAGGGTGCATTGTACGATTGGAACACACACTATTTGTCAAGAAATATGAGGAGYTATTCCTTTGGCAGTCAATTCATTCATTCTTCGTCAAATCAAACTTAGAACATGATTTCAAATTTTTCATACGCTCCTAGTATTGAAGTGATCGATGGAGAAGAAAACTACCTTCTGCCTGAGACTGGTTTTATAGTACAGCCTATAGAATCGATTGATGGAGAATACATTCCTTTCTTGAATCAGAATACTTATGTGAATACTTTATGATCTTGTCAATCACAATAGTATTGACACAGTAGAAGTGATTGATTCAGAACAAAATGTTACTTTGGTTGAGGATACTAATGCACAACCTGGATTTCTTAAAACCCCGGAAATAGTACCTACAAAGCAGCAAGTACATTGTAGCATTGCCATACTTAACTATTTTGTTATCATTTAGCATATATGGACTATATGCATACATCTTTATACATATGAGCGATGTTATTGTAAAAGGTACTTAAGCTGTTAAGGTCCCTTTTGCTCTCGAGTCTCTACGCTAGGCACCACTGGTGGCGGGCGTGTTCTTTAGGGCCTTTTTGCTTTGACAACACTCAT